GGGCTTTCTTTGTTTATTACAGGGTCACATGTTTCTGGGCATCATCTTTGTCGTGGCCGTCAGCTTCCCCATGTTACGGTTTCTCTATCGCAACGAGAAGTTGGACAATCCAGACAGCCCACAGGTGGCGGAACTGAAGCGCGAGGTCAAAATTTGGGAACGCACAAAGGCCTCCCTTCATTCAGCTTCGGAGGAAGTTGACGTGGTGATCAAAACTCTCGACGCCAAGATCAAACAGCTGCAAGACTTGATTGAAGCGACACAGAATGCCTCGTACGTGACTTGAACCATGGTCTGCCCATCAATGCTTTCCAGATGGTTGCTTCTGCCAATGCCGCGGCCTACAGTGTGTCACGGGCCCTTAAACCATTTGCACTCTTGACTTGCACTCTTGACTTGCAGTACGCAAACCTGGGGTGACAAAGTACATGACTTGGAGATTCATTCGCGCATCAAGAACAAGGAGCTACTGTGGGACTGCTCAGTTGTCCTCTCTGTCGTCATCATCATGTTCTTCGTTCACTCTGTGCCAAGTATTCACCTGGACCTGGGCTGGATCGCCGTTCTGGGTACGCCCATCATACTTCAAGCTGTCCTCGCTCACCTCATCGAAATGAAATTCACACTTGTCTCGCCGTCATCCATGTGACCATTTGGCCTTTAGGCGCTTTGTCGCTGTTATTGCTGACAGACTTGCACGATTTTGACCAGCTCTTGGAGCGCATTGAGTGGGGCACGTTGCTGTTTTTTGCAGCCCTCTTCATCTTAATGGAGGTGAGCCCTGCTGTGTGGATCAGAGCGCGTTTCATGTCTCATTCAAATTATCATTCGCACTTGCCTCACTCACAAAAACACACGCCTGGTCGCCCGCCGTCAGGCTCTCTCCGAACTGGGTCTCATCACCTGGATTGGTGACCAAACAGCTGCTCTCATCAAAGACGTAAGCCTCGTACCTCTTGCTGAGCAACTGCAATCTAAGAGGCTTGGCAGACGGCGTGGGGGCCAAATGGAAAGGCAACTGCCGAAGAGTGCTCGGTGCAAGCAAGGCTCGGCTTGCTGTACAACACTCATGGCTATCATTGGTGTGATTTGGCAGATGCCTGAGGATTCCCGGCTCAGCTTGGCCATTATTATCATTTTGTGGATCTCGGCCCTCGCCTCAAGCTTCATTGACAACATTCCATTTACAACGGCAATGATTCCCGTCATTAAGAGCATTGTTGCTGATGAATCAGTCGATCTACCCCTTCGGCCTCTTGTTTGGGCCCTTGCCTTTGGTGCCTGTCTGGGCGGAAACGGGACCCTCATTGGTGCCTCTGCAAACGTCGTCTGCGCCGGCATGGCAGAACAAGTGAGAGATCCTCCTTTACCTTTTTTTTTTTTTGCTTTTTTTTTTTTTTTTTCTTTTGGTTTTCTTTGCTCTCCCTCTCTCTGCCAGAGTTTGCCTTGCCCTGCTTGATACTCATCCCCCATGTCATGTCTCGCTCCATCTGCAGGAGGGCATCACCATTAGCTTTAATCGTTTCTGTCGAGTAGGCTTCCCCATGATGTTGGTTTCAGTCACGATTGCAATGATTTATTTGCTCATTTGTCACAGTGCCTTCAGCTGGGACTTGTAGTGCTTGATTTGAGATCAATTTGCATATAGAAAGCAGTTTAGGAACGTCCTTCCATTGCATTTGCGCATGGTTGACTTGTGTTTGTACTTTTTGTGCCTTGCTTGTTTTCTTGTACGCTTGGCCGATCCCAGTAGTGGCAATTTGCAAGAAATCGATTCGTTAAAATGCGGCTCTTGCCTTGGCCCTTTTGTTTCGACAGCGAAGGCATCTCAAGACCCTCCCTTACTCCCCTCGCTCAACGAGTGTGGTACTTAGGCTCCACTGGTCGGGACTGCACAGTAGAATCGATACGAGGTCGCCTCCCACTGCCATGGGGCTGGCAGAAGATGACCAAAAAGTGTCATATGGAAACATGCATCGTGATCAATTCTTTTGCTTTTGTATGGGGTGCAGACTCAGTGCAGCTTGTCAAGAGGAAGCGTATACCTTAGCACGTGTGTCACTTGCAACCGATCCAGACCTGGGCATGCAAGGCCACGAGATGGAAGGAGTGCAAGCGAAACTGGGGCTTGTTGCAGCAAATGACCCTGAGAAAGGCCTTTGTGTTTGTTAAAGACTATGTTTGCGGGGCTCGTATTTTCTTCTGAAAAGAGTGCCGTGGAGGCTGAAGCCGCCTTATGCGTCATCTGAAGCGGTAGCAGCGCTGGCCTTCTTTTCTCGGTTCTTGATGACTTGCCAGTTATATAACCGGGCGAGATTCACCTGTAACAAACGAAGTGGGGCGTGGTGAGGAAAATAGGGCAGACTGCATGCGGTGAACAGAGGCAGACTTTGAACCCACCTGAACGGTGGTAATTTGGTTCTTGAGAAAGTCGAGGGTGTCTGCAGCGGTGGCGATCGAAGACTCAAGGCCCTCCACTTGGGCCTTTAGGAGGTCATGGGCCTCGTCGATCTCATACTCGAGCATCACTTGAGCGCCCAGCCAGAGCATAACGGTGCCACTGGGTGGTACGGTGGCACGCGCCAAAACGCCCTCGGCCAGAGGAAAGATGGTTTCACGCTTGGCCTCTTCGTCCTGCGCAATTGCACCAAGAGTGAGCTCGACGTTGCAGACACCATCCCGCCGGAACCACTGGCGCATCCGAGATTGAAATGAAATAAAATAAAAAATTTAAAAATCCACCAGAACGATGGCCAAGATCTTGAAACGTACGCGTTGCTTCTGCAGCATCTTGACGGCCTCGAAGGTCTTTTTCATCTCCGGCAGGCGCTTCATGTGGCTACGCAGAAAGAGGAAACAAGAATAGACCCTTTGAGACAAGAGAAACTGAAAGGTCGTCATTTAAGAGGTACAAAAAGAAGAAAGCAAGCGAGGTCAAAGCCCAGAGGCGCCCCAAGGCAGCGGAATGTCGGGCTTGGTAGTATTGTGAAATGAATTCTCGTCTACGTCCTGAGTGAAATGTGTCGGGCACAACTTACGCTGCACGACGGCCAGCAATCTGGCTCTCAATCATACTGTATTTCTGGTTCAACGTGGCAAAGTCTTGCATGATGGCATCTGGGCTAGCCCCATTTTGAGTGACCATGAAAGCATCGATATCCTCAATGAAGGTGGCCTCGGGAATATCCTTGGCCGCCATGGTGCTTGTTGGTGCCACGACAATGAACGCGCTTCAAAACGAGACTAAGACAGGCGAAAAAAGAAGACTGGTTCTAAAAGGCGGGGGGACATGGTCCACGCACCAAATCCATCAGCCCCGTGAGCCTGGTCAATGTCTGGAACCCTGGCAAATCTTTCGAGCTGCCCCATCTCTCCTCTTTCCCCTGCAGCAAAGGACCGAGTCACCCCGGCCCGAACCCCGTACCTGAACCCCCCGAACGGCGCGTTCTGCGAGATGAGAGAGAGAGAGAGAAAAAAATCTTGTCGTTTGTGTGTCTGGTACCGGTGGTGGTTGCTGATGGTGCGAACAGCTGTTCTACACTGGGACTTTGAAGGTGTGAAATACATCAACAAAAGCTATTTGTTTTATTGCAGCCCGAACACTCGACGTAAAGCTCTCTCTCTCTCTCTAAATCTCTCTCTAAATCTCTCTCTCTCTAAATCTCTCTCTCTCTCTCTCTCTCTCTCTCTCTAAATCTCTCTCTCTCTAAATCTCTCTCTCTCTAAATCTCTCTCTCTCTCTAAATCTCTCTCTCTCTAAATCTCTCTCTCTCTAAATCTCTCTCTCTCTAAATCTCTCTCTCTCTCTAAATCTCTCTCTCTCTAAATCTCTCTCTCTCTAAATCTCTCTCTAAATCTCTCTCTCTCTAAATCTCTCTCTCTCTAAATCTCTCTCTCTCTAAATCTCTCTCTCTCTCTCTCTCTCTCTAACTCTCTCTTTCTCTCTCTCTCTCTCTCTCTTAGTTTTTCCTTTCTGGCTCACTGAAGCTCACTGGACTGGCGAGGGTGAGTCGTGTGATCTCTCAACTACGGCTGGGCGGCGGCGTTGGCTGTGCGTGTGAGGCCCAGGTCATGGGTGCAACCTGGGCCTCACACCATGGCTGGAGATGGCGCGAAGAAGTGTCACAGCTGTGGCGATGGCAAGCGTGTTTTGCGTGATGCAGAGCTCCTCTCTCCCGTGCTGGCACATGCCTTCTCACTGTTTCAACGTTGCGGTGACTCTTGTGTGAATGTGTAGAACCGAACCGCGTTCTTTGAGTTGAACCATTTGCCAACCCCATCATCATGGTACGGGTTGCCGATGACGTGCCTTGGCTTGCGTCTTGATTCGAGTGCACGTTTTGCAATGTAGGCCTTTGCTCACAGTCGCGCCCTTGTTGCATGATGACGATGATGGCGACTCCTGCAGCTGTCTCTCCGCACGATCGCGGCGCGTGCTCGCACGGCCGCCCCCGTGGCGCGCCACCTGAGCTTTGCCATGACCGATGATCAAAAGGCTCTCGATGAGCTTTCCAAGCGCTTTGCTGTGGAGAAGATTGCCCCTGTTGCGGCTCATCACGATGAGACGGGCGAGTTTCCTTGGGACATTATCCGTGAGGCCCAGTACGTGAATGACCGCCATGCCCTCCGCCCGCATGGAAAGGCAGATGAAAAAATGGCCCAATCACCCACCCGCCAATTGACTGACCCTGATGCGTGACATGCCTGCGCAGTGGCCTTGGCTTGATGAACGTCCACATTCCCGAAGAGTTTGGTGGTCTTGGCCTGGGCGGCGTCGACTGCTGCATCATTGGTATGTCGGTGGCACGAGCAAATCTGACAACCCAAGTGTCTTGCGCGTTAAAAAATGAAACACGGGCTCACCCCTCTGCATGTGCTTCTCTATGATTGCTCTTAGCTGAGAACCTGGCATACGGTTGCAGCGGCATTTCAACCGCGATCGGCGGGCCCACGCTGGCGGAGAGCCCTCTGTTGGTGGGCGCCAACACCGAGCAGAAGAAGAAATACCTGGGTCGCATGACCGAGGAGCCTCTCATCGCAGCCTACTGCGTCACCGAACCTGGATGTGGCTCGGACGTCAATGGCGTTCAAACCTCGGCCGTCCAGAAGGGTGATGACTGGGTCATCAACGGCAACAAGATGTGGATCACCGGTGCTGGCCATGCCAACTGGTTCTTCGTCCTCGCACGCACCGACAAGGATGCCAAGGCCAGCAAGGCCTTTACCGGCTTTATCGTCGATGGTGACACCCCCGGCATCACCCTGGGCCGCAAGGAAGACAACATGGGCCAACGGTTCGTCCCACGGCCAGCGAGCTGGCTAACTCTGTTTCACTGGATGTGGCCCATTTGAGCGCTCGTGCATGACTGAATTCGTCCTCTAAAATGCAATGGCAGGGCATCGGATACCCGTGCCGTTACTTTTGAAGACGTGGTCGTCCCCAAGGAGAACGTTCTGGGTGAAGTTGGCAAGGGCTTCCTTTTGGCCATGAAGGCTTTCGACATTACTCGCCCCGAAGTGGTACGTGTGCATTCATCGCAAGACGGCCTTGCCCCCGCGCCCCCCCTTCCCGTCTTGCAGGCGATTTCTGATCTTGCTGCCACACTAGGGTGCCGGCGCCGTCGGTTTGGCTCAGCGCGCCCTGGACGAGGCCACCAAGTACTCGCTCGAGCGCAAGACATTTGGCGTCCCCATCGCCAAGCACCAGGCCGTGGCCCACATGCTGGCCGACATGGAAATCAACACGCAGGCCGCCCGTTGGCTCACGCTGCGCGGTGCTTGGGAGCTCGACCAAGGCCGCCCCCCGACCTTCTATGCCTCGCAAGCCAAAGCTTTTGCTGCCGACAATGCCATTCGCTGCGCTCGTGGTACGTGACTGTTGGCCCGTCAAACTTTTCTTTCTTCAAATGCTCTTTGTCGATGGACGCTTTTTCGCTGCACATTTTCGCACGCGTCTGTGCTGGTGGCGTATGCCTGACTCCCTTTTTTTTTTTTTTTTTTTTTTTTTTTTTTTTTTTTTGTTTTTTTGTTTTTTTGTTTTTCCTAGACGCTGTCCAAATCTTTGGCGGCAACGGCTACTCGCGAAGCATGCCTGTCGAGAAGCTCGTTCGCGATGCAGCCATCTTCAACATTTACGAGGGCACTGGCCAGATCCAGCGCGAGATCATCTCACGCACCCACCTTCAAAACGCCATGAACGGCAGCATTCCCATCTAAGCGTGTGATGCTCGTACTGTCATGACGCTGGCCCACTGTGCCACGCCTCTCGTATACTGACCGTGCTCTCTTCGACAGAATCGAATGGTTGCCTCAGTTCTAAGCCCGAATTCACTTGACACCGTTGTTTCGGACAACCTGCCCCACACTGCTTTTGATTTTTGGTTCAAGATCAAGCTAGCACAGCAGCCAAACCTCCCCAACGATCAGCAGTGAATACTTGAAAACACACAAAAGCACTTGGATCTCTGTGCCAAAGAAAGAGATTTTATCATCATACACGAGGGAGAGAAAATGTCATGCAATTGATAGCATAGGCATTTACAGGCCACGAGCAGCAAGCTCACGTTGGCGGGCCTTCTCGGCACGCTCAACCTTGATCTTGGTCTTCTCGCCAACGAGGCCACCGCCCCAGGTACGGCGAGTCTCGTCGAACTTGGCGTTGTAGTTGGCACGCACAGCCTCGACGATCTTGGCGAAAGAGGCCGACTCAGACTTGGGGACATCAGTCACAGCAAGGCAAGTGGCGGTCTTCTTGTGCACAACAGCTCCGAGACGAGCCTTGCCCTGAACAAAAAAAAACAAACCCAATCCATGCAGGTGAGAAGACGCTCAATCACCAAAAAAATAATGCGATGAACGAAAGAAAGAGCATGCAAAGACAAACCTTGACAATGCAGTAGGGGATATCCATCTTGCGGCAGAGGGCGGGAAGCCACACGACGAGCTGTAATGGTGTAGGGGGACGCACAAAGCCGGAAGCGGAAGCGACGAAACGAATGAGTCCAAGCATGGGCTGGTGGGTCATCAAGCATTTTATCTCTCGCAGAGAATAAAAGCTCTAAATCTCGGGGCTCTCTACAGTCAACGGGCTCGCATTGCTCTCGAGCATCATTGTAAACTCGACACACAGCCAAGTTTACAAACGATGCAGAGAACGAGACAAGCCAAGGTTGAAGGGCGTTGAGCAATCTCGCGAACTGAGTGGCCAATGGCTACCACAGGACTTTTGACTGCTACGCCTTCAACCCAACGCTGACTGAGAGGCCAAGCCGAGCCACACACTTTAAGGTCATCGAGCGACGCTGCTCCTTCGAAAGCCCGGCGGGCATTTCGATTGGGTGCAGGAGAGGCATATAACAATAGCCACGCGTCGCTCTAGCCCACACATGGCAACGAACAAGACCGCAAACGGTCGCTCGGGCCAATAGTCCACATGGAAGGTAACACGTGGTGGTGGTGGACAAGCGAGCGCACGGGGGAGCAGGTATTCACCTCAATGGGGTCAACGTCGTGAGCAATGACGACGAGCTTGGCCTTCTTGCTCTCAATGAGGGCGGTGATGTGGTTCAGACCAAACTTGACGACAACAGGCTTGTCACCAGCGGTGGCGGCATCAGAGGTCGCCTTGTCAGCGGCAGCCTTCTGCAGACGCTCCTTCTTCTGCTTCTTGTCCTCAGGGCGCATCTTGTTCAGGGTCTTGAACAGCTGGGCAGCGGTGTTCTTGTCCAGAGCCTTGGAGAACTGGTTGATGGAAGGAGGCACCTTAAGACGGCGCTGCAGAACCTGCTTTTGGCGCTGCAGGCGGATGTACTTGGGCCACTTGACGAAGCGACCAAGGTTGCGGTCGGGCTGGATGTCACCGCCTGAGTTGGAGAATCAGCATTACCAAGGTCATTGAGTCGGTGGCAGGCAATCAACCCATGCGCGACGATGCAGCGCGCTAAGAAGGAGACGAGGCGCCAATCAGAGTGAAAACGTACCGATGGCAAAGTTGCGGGGACGGCGCTCGAAGAGCGACACGGCCTTCTTGGGGGCAGCGGCCTTGGTGGCCTTGCCGCCCTTGACGGGCTTGGCAGCAACCTTTCCCTTCGCCATTGTGCGTGGTTCAGAGAGAGAAAAAAAAGTACCAGTCAAGTTCAAACCTCGTGGTTTATAGATGTGGCCCCAACACGCGTTGTGAACAGGTAACCTTTTGCACACAAACACAAAAATCTGACAACGTGGACTCGTGGATGTCGTGTGATGCTGACAATCATCAAACACAAATTGTCAGCTTTTTCCCGATGAACATGATCGCATCGCGGGCAGAAGGGAGCTTGGCTTTAGATTTGGAAAACGGGGCAGACCCAACACCAAACACATGGGGCGCGGATGCGTTCAAGTCTTGATATCAGGGGCAACAACAGCTCGACCAATGAGAACAAACAAGCCGCGACTATTGTGAGCTGTCAGCTTGAAACAGGAGGGGGGCAAGCACATGAGTTGGGACGGGCTTAGGACATGGCCAGCTGGTGAGCAGCAGCATAGCGCTTGTAGGCACAGTGGAAGAGCTGGCGCTCAATGTCCGTCAGGAGGGACGAAGCTCCCAAACGGAAAAGATCGGGACGAGTCCACTCGTCACCTGCGTGCATTGCGATGATAGTGTGGGCATGAGCCATTCCATCCGCCATGAGCCTTGCATGTATCGTATGTACCAGTCCTGTTCTTGTCGGGGTGCACACCAAGCAAGCGACATACCGAGCTCCTCCTTCATGATGGCCAACCAAGACAGAGCGTCCTTGGCAGCACGGATGCCACCTGCAGGCTTGAAGCCCACCTTGTAGCCCGTGCGTTGATGGTAGTCGCGGATGGCACGCAGCATGGTGATGGCCACGGGGAAGGTTGCATTAACGCCTTCTTTGCCCGTTGAAGTCTACAGCCCGGTGTCGAGAGATTGAGCGCGTGCCGGGGCCATCGTGAGCTAAGAAAGAGCATATGGGGCCAAGTTCTCAAGTGACAAACCTTGATCACATCAGCGCCCGCCATCATACAAATCAGACTGGCACGGTACACATTGTGAGACTGCCGAGTTCACCCGTGGCCAGGATGGTCTTGAGGTGGGCATCACCGCAAGCCTGAACATCGGCACCAGCGTGAGGACACGGCACGCAACGGAAGGGCCAGCAAGAGTTGTCACCATCCAGAACACAGATGTCTTTGGTCCATGATGAGGATGCACGATGCTACTGACCTTTCGCATGGCCTTGACCTCGTCATAGAGCTCCTCCCAACGAGCCGCAAGCACCAAGGGACGAGTGATTACAATGTCGATCTCTACGCTCGGTGGCAGAAGGATGGTCGATCAGCGCACTCTGTCTTGATTTGCAACAGAGCAGAGCAACTAACCACATCCTCTCTTCCTCCCTCTCACTCTTCCTCTCTCTTCCTCTCTCTCTCTCTCTCTCTCTCTCTCTCTCTCTCTCTCTCT